CGCAAAGACTTTCACCATTGGCTCTGGCTCCAGCCAATTGTTATTGACTTACATTTCAAAATAAAACTTTATAAATTAAACATTGTTTCTAGTTCATCTAAAATAAAATATGCTATATAAATAAATATTCTACGCGAATTACCCACAAGCTCTCCCACGAGCCATCCCAGCGCAGCGCAGGGGAAAGATTTTACTCTATCGCTTTGTTCTAAGCAATGGGGGTGTCCCGGGGCTCGAAATTCGCAGGGTAGGAGGGGGTAGTGACTCTGGGTGCAACTAAAAAGGTGCCATTGTCCGGTGAGGTCCGGTTGGGGAGTTACGGAACGATCTCATATATGGCATAATCTTATTAACTGTTTATCTCCTGAACTGCATCTTTCTTTACCACGCTATTCAGCGCCAATCCCGCTGTGCAGTCAATTTCACTGGTTAAGGTTAGGGTCAGGTGTGGGGTAGGTTTAGGGGTTAGCATTTTTGTAGCATAGTGTAGGAAATCAACACTTTAATTGACACAACCAATAAAATCTTTAGAATCAGCTGTGGGGCGGAGTTTGCACTGAAGTGGATTGGGGGGAAAAATTGCGCATGCGTGTCATGTGCCTGTCTGTCAACGGGAGGAAGCCACGCCCTATTTTGGAGCTCCCACCCCGTTTTGGAGTTCCCGCCCCCATTTGGAGATCTCCAGGCTGCAGTTATACCCTTCTCATGAGCTTTGTAAAAATCGATGGGTTTCAGAAAGGCGGGGCATAGAGGAGAAACAATAATGTACAGTATGTGGAAAATAATGTTTTTTGTTTTTTTACTTTAAACCGCATTTCATTACACCAAATACACAAAATAATGTTCTTTTTAGCAACATCATATGACCCCTTTAATGTAGTCAGTTTGACTCTATGCTCATATTAAAACTGTTAAACAAATAGCTGGTTATGCAAGTGTCTATCTATGGAGAGTGATATATTTCCTAAATGAAAGGAAATGTCTTTTTTATAATGTTAATCTCAGAGAGTGTCTGGGATCATGATGTCTGTCACCTTGCGAGAGATATGCTGGCTGAAAGCATGAAAGTGCATGCGGATATAACATGATGCACAAAAAACGCCATAAGACAATAACTCACCTCTAGAAAGAAAGTCGACAAATGCGAAGAAACCAACTTGTCAATCGAGAGTTACTTGTAACGCGATAACCAGGGATTGCTGGTTGATGTGAACGGTCGGACAGTCACGAGCCACGGCCGATGGAGGTCGCCATCATTGTTTCATAAGACGTCGGAAGGTACGTCATCACGTAAATGACGGAGACGTATGACCAAGTGGTCAAGGTTTGGCTGGTAAGCGTCAGATATGAATTATGTGAATTAAATTAATACAGTATACGTAATATCTGTAATTACCATGATCTGTTAGCCTCTGCTGGTTGATAGCAGAGGCTTCATCTTTCTCCATTGACGACCGTTCAAAAGTAACGTTAGCTGTGTATTCTGAGTTTGTGCTAAGTGTGACAAAACTTTGTAAGTGCCTTTGTAAGCTTCGATGTTTTTCTCTTTATTGTTGTACCTAAGTTAGACCCATTTTAAATTAAATTAAATTACATAAAACGTATTACATATTTAAAACTACGATAATTTATCAACACAGATATAAAGAAACAATTTCCAGCTTTGCCCTTTAAGTTGTTCGAAACGGAAATAGAAAGCCTTTATTGTGATTGTATACAACAAAATTTGGAAAGATGCTCCTGTTGGTGTCAAAGATACAAACATATAGCAATTTACAAAATAAAAAAAATAAACAATTAAGGATAAAAAGTAAAAAAATTAAATAAAAAATAGTTGGAGTGCAAATGCTCCCCTGTGGTGCATTTCAATATTGCACTATTGACTGACAACAGTGTATAAAATAAAGAAATAATTAGGTAAATATCACTTGTTTTTATATTTTCATTCTGCAGAATTTACAATGAAGTTGTATTTTTGTCCATTTGTGCTTTAGTGTTGCAGTTTAGTGAGCCTTTCTTTAGTTAGGCTTATAGTTATAGTAGGTGGCGTCAATTGGCTGTTTTTTGTGCATTTTGAATGAGTCATTGCTTCATTAATTCAACTGATTCATCCAGACACACTGATTTATTCAGAAGGGAAAAATTATGTGTTGCGAGACCTGCAAAGTGACTTTAGGAGTATTTTCAGAGCAAAGATGGCAGTCTCCAAATACAGCAGGTAAACAACTTCCACTGAAAATGTATCCACAAGAGTTTGTTGAAATTTGAATTTGAATTGAATTTTTTGTTCAGGAATCAATGAACCTCAACCAAAGAAATCAACCTATCATCACTTTTACTCAAATGAAGTCGACGTTTGAAACAAAGTATATTACTGATCTGTTTTGTTGTTAATAGGAAAATGTAATATTTGTCAGAACAAGTGTAACTCGAAACCCCATTTCCTCTAATTTCCAGCTCATTTCCTAATTTGCTCATGTATTTTGAATACATAAACTTTTCAAAAAGAAAAAAAAATCTGTCATTTTTAACATGTTTGTGATTCCATTTAATTTAATTTTTATGCTGTTACCTTATTTGTGTTTATTTGTTAAATGTCAATGAGAACTTTGTTTTGTATTTTTGGAACTCAATAAAATATAGGACTGAGATGAATGGGAATGCTATCCAAGTATTGTAGACTCCCAAAGAGAGAAATGATAAATATAATTCACAACATGGCTGTAATCTAAATATAGCACCCTCTGTAAATCATCATGAAGTCTTTCCTCTGAAACATGAAATGCTTCCTACTTTGAGTTTCAGCTGAGACTCACCCAAATCTGGCTAATAATTAGGAATTTGTTGATATGTAAAGTATAAATTGAACCTGCTATTGAGCTATGCTCTAGATTGAAAATCTATTTCAAATTTGGTAGATAATTGTTGTGTATTATGAATTTAATTCCTACCTCTTAGTCTAACATGTACATTACATAACTTGCATATATTTAAGATTATTTTACAGCGTGTCAGTATATAGCCTAGATATGAACTGTAATGTTTGCACCATCACCTATGGGTCACTCGTAGTAAACGCGCAGTTATGCCGTTTAATAGGCTATTATGTTCCATGTTGTAATACAACGTAATGCAAGTAGCCTAAAGGAAAACAAAAAATAAGTGTTGTCAATAGATCGCATCAGTAATTTAAGAACCAAACGTCTAGGCGAGATTCCCAGATAGTTATGATTTGCGTGCATAATATTAAATAAAATGTCAATTATTGATAAATGACCAAATATTAACACCTCGTTAAATAATAACGTAGGCTATTATCTTTAAACCGAACGACGCAGGTTGGCCCACAATTCAATTACATCATTGCTCATCATTTCAAAGTCGGCCATCTCGGGTTAGATTCAATATCTATATTCAATATCTAAAATGTAGCTCAAGTTGCAGGCATCAGCTCAGTAACCGAACATACACAGCATGGTCATTCCTCTCCTCCGTCTCCCCTCATCAGTGAACTTGGGTTGTGGCTATTGGGTACACAATGTACGACCATGCTTTTGATGTAAAACAACTGCGCAAGAGACAGATAGAAACAGGGGGGCGAAGAGAAGAAGAAGGGGGGACGTGAGTATCGTGTGGTGTTGCACAATGTTCATCTTCATGGGTCCTTCGCTTCGCGCAATGGACACGCAACATCCCTCCATTTATCGTTTCAGCTCGTTGCGCACACTTGTAAATTAACTGCTCCTTTTCTTGCGATACGTCCTCTCTTTGCAGCTCGGGTAAGTCATTTTTCATTTCGTGAAGCAGTTTGGAAATGCTTGTTGTTGTTTTCTCAGATCTCCGACGAGTTTTAGAGCTCATTTTCGGAGTGTAGTAGGCTACTCCCGTTGCTTAATAAAAATGTAATTTGAAACGGGACATTCATCTGTTGGGCCCTAGCGCATGAATACGCAACGACACTTTTTATCGTAAACATAAGCGCGTGCGGTATCGCTTATACTATGTGAGCTATTCAAATAATACTACAAGTAAACATCTCAAAATAGGCGATAATAGATTGGAAACCTGGGTCGCGGTTTCCCTATTCTATTTTTGACACTTTCCCCGACAACTTTATATCGATTCTGCCTTCGCGCTGTAGATAACAGATCGGATCGTATTGACTTTTCACTGGAAACACTTTCTTCAAATTCTATTCTATCTATAGCGAGGGGAACTGTAACTTATTACATGTCCCATCAATCAAGTCGTATTCACTCTGCATTGGCATGCTGTGCTTGTCTGCTCGAGCCAACTAAAGTATTATGGTCATGGACTCCTAATTATTCGCCCATATCTCTGTCATATTTTCATATAATGCTCTCGTTTTCTGCTATTTTTGGAGCACCCGGCTATATCTAGGTCATAGAGGAGCCTGTAGAATTGAAACAGCTTTATCCCTTTTGTATTTTCACATTTGTCAGATGGATTTGCGGGCAAATCACTGTCAATTCTCTTAGTTTGCCCAGAGAAGCCTTAAATCTTGTGAGGGAGAAAAGCTTTGATGAATGAAGGGCAGTGCTCAGTGATGTCATCTTGTTTTGCTACTTTAATGCACTTCAGACTACTGTAGCCTATGCTACTTTCACATTGCACCGATTAACAATATTTGACTGAATCTGCTTGACAAGTGAAACAGAGGAAGAGCTTAACAGGTCTGCTTAACTGACAAAAGCTGGTGTTAACCTGCGTATTGTTGTCTCGACATACATAAGAGGACAGAAGACCCCGTTGGGTTGAACAGTATAAGATAACCGTTTGTAATGAGATAACATACACAGACTGAAACATAGTGAAACCTAATAACTTTCTGGAGACTCATTGCACTTGACGCTGAAGGGTTGGATTGAGCATACATTGGGTAAAGATCAATTAAACTGACACTGTGAAGAAAATTTGGGGAAAGGAAAATGCTAATTATTTCTCGATGATGGGAACAGTGATTTTCGTTTAGTAGATTTTCGCGTGTATCAGCAAAACCAAAACAGATTTTTAAGGAAGAGCATATGGTTTTGATTTACAGGGAAACAGTGAATTATTTAACCACTTAGTGTGGTCTGCTTTGAAAATGCTTTAGAGATATATTTTAAAAGAGAGAGCTAATTATATACCGAAAGGAAAAATTATGAACAAAAGTAAATGAAATGGAAGGACAGGAAAAAGGCAGAGAATGGTGGGATAAAAACCTGCAGATGGAGGGAACATTGAAGCAGTATACAAGAAAATGAATAATTATGGTAAAGGTTGAAAAGTAGGCTTATGTCCCAGAGAGAGAAAGACCCTCAAACGTCCTTCTCACTTTGCATCTGAACTGTGCTACTAATAGCCACAGAGCTCCCTCTTCACACACACACATCATTGTACTTTGCTCTCTCTCCTCTCCTCGGGCCATTTTTCTTTTCAAGCGTTCCATTGGGATTGTTTTCTTAGCACCAAATCCTAAAGGAGGAGCTGAGAAGATTGCGCTCAGCAAGTGAAACGCTGCTGGATTTTATCTTCTTTATAAGAATTAGCAAAGACTGAAAGAGCCTGCAGTGGGTGTTACTTTTACTAGCTAGAAACGCTTGCTAAAGCACTTCACAAAATGATTCAAGATGGGAGATCAGGGTGGGGAACTTTACCTTGGTTAGGCGAGATTGTACAAGTGGATAGAAAGTTTGATATTGGAAGTGCTTTGACAGAGTCCAGTCAACAACCCTCAGATGGCTCGGGCTACCGATGCTGTGCTTTATTAGCGTGTTCCTCCCTGCAGCCTGGAGGTCAGCCGCTGGATTTTATGGGTCCCCTGTGCAAGTTAACGCACTGAGGTCATCATGAGGAATCTTCCATAGAATGACCTCACTCTGTGTGGGAAAGCACCTGCCTTTCAGACAACTCAAAACAGAGTTTCGGCCAGCTTTTCGCAGTTGCTGGGGATTTTTATGTGGGTATGTCCCAAGGGAACTGGTCTATAGGCGATTAAGATGTATCATGCTCTTCATGTACCGTATCATGTAGGTTAAAATATTTGTATTGTAGATTCTTTTTTTTTTTTAATCTATTTTTACATCCCTTCATTTTATCACATGCTTTCACTGTTTGTTTTTTTTTGCTCACTCAGATCTTATGTTCTCTTTATTACTGTCATTCTCACTTATCTTTTTGTACACTGAAAAATATGTAGTTGGAAGTCCTTCGTCTGCACCGAACCTTCATTTTGTCAGTTCTTATGACCAGCAAACAGTTACTGGAAAGACTAAAGCTAAATATATTCCTCCCATTTGTTTTATTTTTGCTCAAATGTCATGTCCCATGAGATTCTTCTAAAATCCTTGGATCATAGTACCATGTAGTGGTTACACAAAAAGAATAATAAATAAAATAAAACAATAAAATAAAAACCTTATTTACCATGACTCTTAGTGGCGTGTTATTTTAAAATGTTTGTCAAATTAAGTTCAAGCCTGTCAGAGCCATCATCTAATGAAGCCTGTCAGATTTCCTCAAATTTATAGCTACTCCAGACTGCCTTTGATTTAAAGGGTTAGTTCACCCAAAAATGAAAATTAGCCCATGAATTACTCACCCTCAAGCCATCCTAGGCATATAGGACTTCCTTCTTTCAGATGAATCCAATCAGAGTTATATTAAATGGGTCATATGTAGGGATGTAACGATTAACTGCGAGCCGGTTGAAAATCGATTCAAATATGTGACGATTCAAATCAGGTTGAGATGCTAAACAAATCGCGATTCATTTAGGGGTAGGAGTTTATATGAATGCATGTCTGAGGGGAACTTACTGTCTTTAGAAAAGTTTAGATGGTATTTTTTCTTTTCATCTTGCCTCTGTATAACGCATATTAAAGTTCATATGTGCAGCGCTGCTTTGTTTACAGCTGAAACCAGGAAACGCTTTAATCGCCACCTGCTGTCAGAGAGTGAATCTGCGTCTCATTCAGCTTTGCTGTTTCATGCATATATTTTTATTTATAGTTTCACAAAACTAAAGTCAAACCATTCTGTTTTTGCTTCAAATTAATCATCAGTGGCAAATTATTTAAATATAAAAAACGTACTTACAGGCTGTGAGTCAGAAGCGCCAGACTGTCCTTGCAAAGTTGGAACTGCCCAACTTTATAGAAACAGCCTTTGTGCCACAGACACATCGTAGGGTACTGGTTCAGGAAACAGTCCTCATCCTCCATAAAATGCGCTGGACACATCTGAATATTTGGGTTGAACTGTTCTGGAACAGTGTTGTAAATATAACTTAACAACTGATTTCTAGTTGTGTCCTCATTTGGAAGGCCAAACAAAGTAGTTTCGCTTTCACAACGAAACACACAGTGACTCCACAACATAGCAGCAGCAGCAACAGCAAGAATTAAAGTTACGCCTTTTTTTTTGCGTGAACATTTAGACGCTGTTATGCAAATCTTCCAACATCGTGACATAGACATGTGGGGGAGTGTTAGAATGAGCCGTTTTAGGTAGGAGTGGTTGACTCTTAACTTTTATAAAGAATATCTCTTTGGATTTGAGACTTTAGTTTTTGCAACTTTACAGATCTTCTTTATGCACCAAGAGCTTGTAACACTCCAAAGAGAAAGGAGAAATTGAAATCGCATCATATGATCTTCCAAGCTGTTAAATGGCAGTCATCAGGTGTTGCAATTCATCAGTCCAAAAGAAGTTAAATAAAGCGCATCCATCCATAAAAGAAAGTACCTCACACCGCTCCGGGGAGTGAACAAAGGCCTCCTGTAGCGAATCGATGCGTTTTTGTAAGAAAAATAACCATATTTAAAACGTAATAATCAATTTAATCTAGCTTGCGCTCACTGTTGTGCATGGAAGCAGCTCTGGCCGGATGACGTAGGACGTCGGTGTTGCGCATGCGCCACTCAGAAGTGACGAACGCAAAAGTGCAGGGGAGAGAACAAAACAAAACAACGGTCACAAATTAGAAGTAAAAAACAAAGATTTGTAAAGAAGAATGTTGGAGGATTTCGATACAAGCCAAGAGGAGACTGGTTTTCCTTTGCTAAAGTAAGGAAACTTTGCTTCCTTTGCTCCTGTAAACAAATGAGAATCACAGGCGCATGCGCAACTCCGACATCTTACGTCATCCTCCCGGAGCTGCTTCCGTGTACAACTGTTGGCGCAAGCTAGATTAAAGTGATTATTACGTTTTGAATATGGATATTTTTCTTACAAAAATGCATCGATTTGCTACAGGAGGCCTTTGTTCACCCCCTGGAGCGGTGTGAGGCACTTTTTTATTATGGATGGATGTGTTTTATTTCACTTCTTTTGGACTGATGAACTACAACACCCGCTGACTGCCATTAAACAGCTTGAAAGATCAAAATCAATTTTTAATATAACTCCTATTCGATTAATCTGACAGATGGAAGTCATATACGCCTAGGATGGCTTAAGGGTAAGTAAATAATCGGCTAATGCTCATTTTTGGGTGAACTATCCCTTTAATTTTACCGGATGTCCTTGAGTGACCTGAATGACTGAATATCTTCAAACATTTCCTGATGAATTCTGGTCAGCACATGTCCTCTCTTCCAACAGGCTCCATCAAAGCATTTGAGGAAGACTGACTCAAAGTCATTATTAACATCAGATGGACAATCGTATGCAGTTCAACCACAGACAGATAGCAAAGTACCACTTTCAGATAGAATAACGTCCTCTACCTTGCTGAAGCAGACATATTCACCTCCAGCTGCCCCTTCTCCACCTTCCTTATTACAACAGAACTCCAGTCCACAAGACAGCACCCAAGTTTTAAATGCTCAAAAAAAAAAGGGTGAAGATCTCCCAACTGGAGAATCAATGACCTCCTCCCTCAGTTCACGTGGTTCAAATGATATGAATGCTCAGACATCTCAGCAGTACTCTTCCAATATTGAAAATGACAGTGAAAGCACATCACTTCCAATATCATGTAGTGAGAATTTAGTAAAGCAAGCTCCCTGCCCTCCAAAAAAAACTAGAATCAGAGAAAGTAATGTTTTCAAGGTTTTAAATGCAAAAGAGAAAGAAGATGGAGATTCTGCATGTTCCAAAAACATGAGTAACGCCATAACTAACAGTATGAGTAAGGAAAAGGGTTTATTGCATCAGCAAAGTCCCTCTATCAAGACAACATTACTCCTTACTGCTTCAGATAAATCTGCCGAATCAGCAACTCCTGAGAACAGCACTTGTACGCCAGAGTTACTGGACAGCAGAGGAAGGAATAAGAAGTATACTGAAAGTGAAGTTATAGATGACACCAGAAAGACGACTGTGGAACCTGCTCAAGCTGTTGCTGTCCAGCCAAAAGATGGCAGCAGGGTGGGGCATATCATTGACAAGAATAAGAAAAGATCTAAGCATAGTGCAAACCAGGACGAAGATGTGCTGTGCTCCTCTCAACCCCCTGGGTGTGCAGATTCTCAGTTTAACAGTTCCGTTCCAAGTGATGAGCCACCTTCACATCCCAAACAAAACATTGTGTCACAGAAGAAACAAAAAGCTGTTCAGATGACTAAGATGGAAAATCCGGGCGAGAAGATGGAGCTGTTGAATACTGCTAATGTTAGTTCCACAGCCTGTAAAAAGATTCCACAAAAATCAAACCTTAAAAAAATTCCTTCCATTAAGTCATCAAAGGCATTGTCAACACAGCAGGGTAAATCAAGACAAGTTGGACAACCTTCTAAATCTAAACAACTGCAAAATTCATCACCTAGATCAGAAACCTTTTCCTTTGAGCCCCCTCCTAAGAAAAGGGGTCGTCCAAAAATGGCCAGGTTGGAAGAGAATCCTCAGGAAAGTAAGTCTCAGAAGTCCTCTTCTAAATTCCCCATACTTGAATATGCAAATGTCCCTGATCCAGAGAATGGCCTGAAACTCCCAAAGCCAGCTCCCAAAACAATAGGTCAACCCAAATGTAACACCTCTGTCCAGAAAAAGAGATCTAAATCACTAGACTCAGCATCAGGGAAGAGGGGAGCTGTAGGAAAACTCAAACCCTCCTTGTCTAAAGCTAGAGATGCTCAGATCAGCCGCAAACGAAACAGGTTGATAATGAAGACAGTAATCACAAATATCAATAGGATGAGGGTGAAGAAGAAGGATAAGGTACTCACACAGTTCCTTTCAGGGCAAAGCCAAAGTAACAAATCAGATTTTGCTCAGAAAGACAATGAAGGTGATGCTGATTGTTCAGTTTCAGATGGAACACACTCTTTAACCTCACTTGTTACCTCTTTTGGGGGAAAACTTGGTCCACAAATTAATATCAGCAAACGTGGGACTATCTACATAGGAAAAAGGAGAGGTCGTAAACCTAAAGCTCAAAGAAAAACTTCTGATCAAGACTCTGAACAAGTTCTGGGTCAAAAGTCTCAGCAAGTCTTGACAGAGTCTTCTAATCAGTTGAACTCTTGGTCCACCTCTGGTGAACATAGTCATTCATTTGATGGCCAGTCTCCTTTGTGCAGCTCTCCCTATTCATTTAAACATATTGAGTCCCCTTCGCCCACTCTTAGTTCTTTCCGAAGAAAGCTTCATCTTGGCAACCGTGAATATGATCAACATTCTGCTCCAAATGTAACCAGTTCCCAAAAGGTTAAAGCAATGCACGAAGAGAAATCGAAACCTCCTTCCTCCTCGCAATCTGCACCACGCCCTTCAGCCACATCCCAGTTAGGCTCGGTAAGGATTCAAGACCGCAGAACTACACACCTTGGACGATCAGTATTGATGGAGAAAGAAAGACTCAAATACAAGTGCCATAGAAAAGGTCATAATTGCTTCAGCCATGATAAGATTAGGGGACATAAACACAAATGTAAGAAGAAGTATCTTCAACTCAGGGCTAAAAGGCAAGACCCAGCCTTCCTGGCAGAAATTGAGGAGTTAGTGGTCAGATTTAGTGAGATTCGTATTGTGCATCATATCTCATCACGAGGGTGTGGGGATGAAGCAAAATCTGGAAGGAAGAGTGGGAAAGGGAAAGCTCATCCTCACGTTCTTCAGTGTCTACCACAAAACCTTCATCATCCAACCATGTTTCAAATCAACTTCAGTGGTTACTACTCCCCTCAGTCAGAATATTCTCGTGACTCTCTGCATTATGTCGGAATGGCAGATTTTAAGAGGAACAATGGGTGTCCCTCTCAACCAGGTGAACATATTGTCACACATTGCCCGGTAGTGCACAAACTTGGCTTTCCACTGTCAGGAGGCAGTTGTTACCATCCACCATACAAAATGCCACTCTCTAACAATTCATTTGGTTTTGGACTTTATAGGGGATACCCTCCATCTGCAACTATATACCCTTCGTCGCCCTTTATACCCTCTTATGTGCACCCCTACTCCAAAAATCCCATTTTAAGCCCATCAAAGTTCCATAAAAAGAAGCACAAGTTTCTGAGACGTGACTCTCTACTATGTGGCGGGAAGCCACAGGGGACGTACGCTAATGTAACATCTCATTCCCCTAGTGACTGGTTCAGTAGAAATAGCTGGCAAAGAGAAGACAACAGAGAGCAGGCAAGAGATAAAAGGTTTGTGGATGATAGGCTTAGAGAAAGAGAAGGAATAGAGGGTTTACTAGGGCAAAGTAAGCTCAGAAAAGACCATTTCAGAAGGGGTACACCCTCAAATCCCCCCTGCTGTTCCTCAACACCCTCAAAACAAGCAGACAAACACAAATCTTCACCACTTTCTTATATAGGACCTTCACATCTGAGACCGGTATCAAAAGTTAGGTGGGCAGAGCATCAGCAGCCATGGAGGTGGAGAGAGAGCACTCAGGTAGAGCCTGGGAACAGGGTTTTAAACCAAGGAGCTGGGTCGAGGTACCAGGAGGATGATGATGAAGGTGATGAAGACCTACCATCACCTCCCCTAGCAGACAGAGCCATCCACCATCATTCTTTCCTGAGGAACCCCAATCTTGCTAGTAGCGCGTACAGTGGAATGACAGCTCAAAGGAGGATTGGTGAAGTTCAGTCTGCTTCAAGGAACTTAATGAGACCTGGAAGCTCATTGATGAACGATTGCTCAGCTGGAGGTATAAGAACATCAGGTGAGATGGCATGAGATTATATTTTGTTTGCATGTAACAAACAACTGCCACTGCTCAGGTGACATTCTACAGAAGATATTATATGTAAAGGGTACAATCTAAAAGTAATTTTCAATGTTTGGCATTGAAAGGTTAATTTAACATTCAGTATCCTTTTGTTCCTATTAACTAGGTGAGAAAATGCTTGTACAAATAATTACAGACTTTGAACAGTGAAACAAGACTGTTTTATGACAGGATTGAGAGTCTATGGTCTTATTGATCTCCCACTGTTTTACTAGTTGGGTACCAAAATGGAGCTTGATTTTGCTCTGCGTGTTGTTGGCTACACAGATTTTCCTTGGCAGGGAATGTGTTTAGAAGTCCACTGAGAGGTATATGGTCTCTCTTGTGTGTAAATATTGTTACGCATTAGCTGTACGCATTATGTGGTATTCTGGCATCAATGTTGCTATCATTATGTTCTTGTTTTGTCTTATGTACTCTTAGATAGTTTTAGATGGAGTGATGTGTGAGGGAACTGCACAACCTGTGTATGTATTTAATGTCTCTATGTATGTTATCGCATACTATCATGTAACTGTGGCTCACAGTAGCACCAGTGGAGAATGTGATTTATAGCCAAGTTGAATAGAATTTTATATTTGTTTATACCACAGATATTTGTATTTTGGCTCTTTGACATGAAACCAAGTGTGAATCAATGCTTAAGTCTTTTTCTCTGGAAACACACACCTTTAGAATCAAAACAAATGCATATTTGGCTAATTAGCATTGCTGAAAACATATGGTAAGAAATAAACACCAGCATGCAAGAACTTCTCACAGCAGGAAGACAGGGACATTTGGTGTTGCGTAGTGTGTGGTGTCTGCTTGCCTTTGTGCATGCAGCTTTTACTGTTTATTAAGTATACCTGCCCATCAGGGGCTCTTTCTCAGAGGAAGAGGCCGACACAAAAAAATTGTTAGAGAAAGTAGCGTTCATTTATCTAAAGCAACATTTTCCAACAGCCTTCAGAGTGCAACAGTCCTTGTTCACATCATTGAGGTGTTGTGACTGTGCAAAATACAGGCAAAATGTCCCATGAGGAAGCGATGCCTTCATGTCACTGTGATTGACTGATAACCTTGTGAATTGGATGATTCCTGCGGTGTGTGTGTGTGTGTGAGGCATACTAATATTTAAAAAAAATTTAACTATAAAGCATTGCTTCCAGCCAACTGTCATGTGAAACTCGTGTGAGAAGTGACGATTTACTTTACAATGTGTTGACATATACTGTGAACTCATAAATCGGTCTAATTCTATGAGAATAGGAAAGTCCATACCATAGCTATAATGTTAATGAGACAGAAGAATTATATTGTTAGAATCACTTTGAAAGATGATGAACGATAAAAACGTTGACAGCCACTCTGAATGCACCCAACTGTAAAGAGCGCTAGCATTTAAAGTGAATGATTCTTAAGGAATAAAAAATAAACAGTGTTAACATTGGTTGGCGTAGATGCAAATATAGTTATCATCATAGTTATCTTTATAGTGTGCATGGGCCTTTAGTCACTCACCATCTATAATTCAGTTTGACCAGGCACATATTACTTTTTTTTCCTGCACAGGAACTCCTTTCTATGTAAATGGCTCTCATAGATGTTACGTGCAAACTTCTGCCGGCTTTGAAGAGCCGAATCAGTGATGCTGTACAGTCCCTGTAAAATTTGCCAGATTGTAGTGTGCTGCACTCAGAACTTAGCACTCAAAACCAAGCCGAAATCCTAGGGAATTGCATCATGGAAGTTAAGTTCAGAACAGCTTTTTTGGTCATTTGGGTATTACCTGATTTGCATAATTCCTTTGGTGAAACTGGTTCTAAAACAACACAGACATTGTGTGCAAATTAAAGTCGCCATCAGTGGGTGCAGCTCATCCTTTTCTCCCAGGTGATTGCTCACATCTTTACCTTTCTGTTTCAGAGAGCTTCCAGCCTGGTGGTTCACTCTTCTCTGAGCACTTCTCTGCCAGTCCCTCTCTTAATGAACGTCAAGAGAGAGGAGGAAGAGAGAAAAGACCCAACACCAGCAAAACACACTTTCAGAGCAACGATATCAGGCTTTTTTCCTCGTGTACCACCTCCAAAATCAGCCTTTCTCATTTAAATTATTCAAAAAATACGACGCCGAACAAACGTAAACTGAAACATGTCAAAAAGCCTCTCAAGAAAAAGACTCCCAGAGGTCAAGAGGTCACAGGAAGTGAGGTGAAGAGAAGAGGACGAGGTCGACCAAGAAAAAACCCTGCACCGTGCTTCTCTCCACCTTTACCTGCTACACCTTTACATCATGAAGCCACAGAGTCTCCTGCGAACCGTAAAAAAGGGGAAAGAGATGACTACACAGTACTCAATGCAATTGAGTCCATGGCTCAACATGAGAAAAAGAAAAGAAGGAAAGAAAGAGATAAAACGAGGAGCGGTGGAGCGCAGGTAGATGAAGTAGAAGACACAGGTCTGAGCCAAGAGCCCTCACAGTCACACATCAACACATCCTCACCTTCCCAGGCTCCATCAGTGTCTGTAAACAGCCAATCAGAGAAGAGGTCTGAAAAGAAATATGAGTGGGCGGGGCTTTACTCTGATGTGTATAAAAGCGAGAAGTGAGTGAGCTCTTATATATTTATAAACAAGTATTAAGAATATTTGTTTAAATGCAGCCTTTATTTAGAGAGCTCTCGACAAAGAGCTTGACAAATCCTCTGTCTGTTTGTTTACTCTGCACAGCCCCACGAGTCTGTCCTCTCCAGTACACACAGACTGCCTTGACTATGATTCTGAAAAACATGAGCATGGTCTACTTCCTGCACCTATACACGTAGGTGAGTTTGTGTATGTGTGTGTGTTTATTGGGGTTATTTGGAGGTCACTATAAAAGTTGATCGGAAAGGGGAACAAATCATTTTTGTCAGTCAATAATGAGCTGGAATTAAGTCCAAACTTGATTTATATTGATTAAAAGGAATCTAGTGTGACTCATGGCTGTCATACAAGTGGCATTTGAAGTGGGAGGGGCCACTGGCAAACTCGTTATGATGTCATGGCATGGCAATGACTTTGCTAATGAATAATAAGTAAAAATAATAATAAGTAAATTGAGCTGACATTTCTAGATAACTTTACATTCAGGTTACCTAATTATTATTGAGCTAAGCCTTCATCATAGTACGATTAATCTAAACAATTTTAAAACAAATTATGATTAAAAAACAAAAATGGAAATGATCAAATTTGTCAGTTTTCAACACTGGTACTTTAGTATCAAATCACTATAATAGAATGATTTCTGAAGGATCGTGTGACACTAGAGTAATGGCTGCAGAAAATTCGACTTTGCCATCACAGAAAGGAATTACATTATAAAATATATTAAAAATATAAAAGTTATTTTATACGGAGTGTCTATTTACACTAAGTGCAAATAGCCCGCCTTTTTGGCAGAGGCTATTTACACTAACTCCGCCCACCAACGTGTGATTGGAGTAGTCAACACTACACAAGACATTTGACAAATATTAAGTCCAGTGGCGTAGATAGTAAAGCGTGTGCATTTTGATGTGATCGACCCGGGTTCGAATCTGCCTTTTGCTGAACTTTTTTTACTCCCTTTTCAAATGTCATATCACAATGGAAAGGAATTTTCAAAAATAATGACGAAAATAATCAAAAAGTTGAAAATAAAGCATCGGGTAGGGTTAGGGTAGGTGTAGGGAGGACTTTATAGTCCCAATAAGTGGCATCCATTTAATGATTAGAATTAAAATTATAATTTACACTCAATGCGTTATTATTGTGTACATTTTTATAATGTACAATACTGAGGTGTAGATTATTGCCACTATTTGCAATAAGTAGTATAAATAGCAGAAAATCCTGATATTTTAACATAGTGTTAATTGAATCTATAGCTATTTGCACTTAGTGTAAATAGCATATTGATAAAAATGCTGCTATTTTTATCAATATGCTATTTACACTTAGTGCAAATAGCCGCTGCCTTTTTTATGTTGTAATAATATTTCAAGGTCTTATTATTTTTACTGCATTTTTTATCAAATTAATACAGCCTGGGTGAGCATTAGAGACTTCTTTCAAAAACATTTTAAAAAATCATACAAACCCCCAACTTTTTAATTTGCAATCTTTCTATTTGCTAAGTTCAAGTGTGCAGATTTGTATGTCATAATTTATTGTGAACTTAATTTTTACACCTCTCAGAACAGTTTAAAATAGAGGGAGCGATAAAGACTGTAGTGACTGAATTTCAATACGTTCATAACTCATGTTTGTGTGACAGGAAAGTATCTGAGGCTGAAACGGATTGACTTTCAGTTGCCCTATGACATATATCGACTCTGTGCAAAGGAAAAGGTATTTTTAGATTACTTTAAAAAACATAAAGCATGTATGGTCTGTCATTATTTGTTGGCCCTCATGTCATTCCAAACCTTCATGTCTTTATTCTTCTATAGAAAAGGTGGAATTGTGTCAAACTTCCCTTTTCCTTAAATACACCTTAATTAGACAAAATCTAACTAAGTTATGATGTGCGATAACTTTGTCTAAGTCTAAATTATTTGCTGAAAATCCTTCAATGTAGGTCTTGAATTTCATTCACTATCCTGCACATTCAAAAATGATCTGTCACAATTGGTAACAAGACATGTGAGAACCAATGATCATTGGGTCAAGGGTCATTGGTTGTTAAAGGTTTTGAATGACAGTAGGATTAGTAAATGATGAAAATTTTTATTTTTAGCAAATTATCCCTTAAAATATTTCCATTCTGTCACTGTCATACAATAATTGTGACGATCTCTGTTCCAATACAGCGTCCTAAAAAGTCACGAAAGACCCCACGAAAGATGGCCCCATCCAGTGAGTAGACTTACCTGCTAATTTGTGTTAGCTGGTTTGTGTGTATTTGCATGTGTTTGTTTGTGTATGTAAGGCCTAATCAATTCTGTGGAATAAACTATCAATTTCACTCACACATTTAGTCTGTATGGATGCCCATTTGTGCCACATAAGAAAAAAAAACATGCTATGGTAAATTGTGATTGTCATAAAAAGGCAAAATCATGACATACTAAACCATAATTATGAGATACAAAGTTGAAATTATGAGATTAATAGTCATTATTATGACAAAAGTTATTAGCATTTTATCTCATAATTTTGGCGTAATATCTCATAAAGTTTACTTTTTTTCTCATAATGATTTTTTTATGTCATGATTTTCCAAAGCATGTTTTTTCTTATGTGACACAAATGGGCTTCCATACGTCTGGAACACTGCAAACACAATTAATCAATACAAACTGTAAAACTATTGAGCTGCCATTTGGCCAATCAAATTTGATTACTGGCACTGACTACTGTGTAATATTACATTTAAAATGGCTTTGTTCTCTGAAGTAAGTGTGTAGAAGCAGTTAATATTGTGTAAACATATTCTTCTTTGTCTCTTGCTCTGTCTCTTTGAGATGGATCTGTTGATGTAATGTCTCGCACTCAGACCGAAGACGGTTCCTGTGAACATCAGAAGCTCAGTGTGACACATGACTGCGTTTCTGACAGCCTTAATAGGTAAATAAACACACACATACACAAGCACATTCACCATCTATTGCTGAATTTAAAGTGGAGATGAATTCTCTCAGGCCCACTTGGTTTCAATTGTTCAGTCCGAACCACTGATTTTATCCTGTCCCATAACCTTTTTTTTTCTAACTTAGTAATGTCAGCCCTAGACCTAATACAGAAGAGATTGGAAAAGAAATTAGTGAAACAGACATTGAAAATAATCTTCCCAATCAACCTGACCCTCCCAAACAGCAGGTAAGAGGCATTTCTAGATGCAACCTCACTTCTAATTCCATTACAACATGCCTGAAAGGGACTGCATCATTTAAAGCGCATGGGCAATTTGGTCACTTTGCGAATGACTTTATTTCCAGGAGAACGGCAATGATGCTGAAAATATCCCCTCCCCTCTCCTGATGATGCCCTTGTCTTGTGAGGAGAGGCAAGAACACACATAAACACAGACAATAGCATTTCTACCCATTGCTTACGCTCGTTATGTTTTCTGATCATTTTATGCTCTTCTTTTACTTATATATTCATACTTTTCATTGTCTTATATTTCTTAAGTTTGTACTTTGATTTGCTCTTATTCCCCTGATAGGAGCTTCGTCTTGGAACATGGCATTTTTCTGGTGAGAAACTATGAGAAAATGAGAGACAGACAGGCATTGCTCCTGAGGGAGGAGGTGACAGAGCGAGAGGAAGAAAACAAAGAAGATAGAGGGAACAGCCAGAAGGGGGATCAGAAAGGGGATCTCGAAGACACCAGCACTAAGTCAGGTCCAGCAGTGTGTATAGCTGTAAAATGTGTGTTTGTGTGTTGTTCTTAGCTCTTAAGGGATAGATGACCTGAAAAAATATTTTTGTCAATATTTATGACCATTTTCAGGTTACTTTAACTCTTATTAATTGTGCAGGCTGCTGTGCCTTTAAGACTCTTCACATCTGCAATGACATACAGTGCTTTGCTGCCATTTTTACTCACAAACTGCGGGTTTTGTTGTCCAACATAGTTCCCTTGTGAAAAAGGAGTGTGAAGTACTTGATTATAATTTTAATTGTAGTTTATATGATATTACAATTGTTCTTAAAATTTAAAATTATTCTTAAAATGTACTAAATTGCAACGTCATCATTACAAATGTGCGATTACAAATATATTTGATTACATGACATACAAGAATAGAAATTACATGAAAGTTATTTTAGTTTATCATATGCATATTCACTTAGCAGTACACTTTAATCATATTTCAAAGACAGTAGAATCGTGAAATTACATATATACGTACTTAAGTCTTATATAAGTGGGCCAAAAAGCACTCTAAAGTTAAATTTAACACATGAAATACATTAAAACTAGAATACATTTGGTTACACTTTATTTTAAGGTGTTCTTGTTACAGTGTAATTATACATTTAAGTACTGAGTAATATTATTTAACTACATGTACTTTCATGTTACTTGCATGTAATTATGCATAATTTATTGTCATTATAATAGCAAGTACATGTAACATTTGTAACAAAGACACCTTAAAATAAAGTGTTACCATACAATTTCATTCAGTTGAAATCAACATGCAATTAAGTCTTAGAACATTGCATTCAGTTTGCACTTATTATAAAGTATATTCCTTTGAAGAATATTATTTCTGTAATAAGTAATCTTCAAGTAAAGAAGTGTACTTCTTTTTCACAAGGGTTCCCGTCATCTTTCAGTTACAGGTTCTGTGTGAAACATGCATTACATCAAGCTAATTTTGCTGAAATGTCCCACAAAAACGGTTAAGATCAGACTTCAGAGAACTTCTTAAAGTATTTAGAAGAGAAAAATAAGTATCCATCCATATTTTTTTCCTTAATATGGGCCAGGTTTCTGAATACCAAATAGATCAAACTTGGCATCATGTCCATATGTCTAAGGTGTTTCCCTGCCTGTGGTCCTAGATGCTTGCCAACATCGTTACGTATTCAAGTTGCAACAGAACAAAACTACCCATTTTAGCTTAATTTTTTGTTTTTATTCTGAATGTAGCATGGTTTAATATTATACATGTTTTTGGTTGAAGTGTGTTTGTTTGTCAGCAAGGCTTACTTTAACCTACCTGTATGTACTACACTAGTGCTACCAAGGTACATTTACATTAAGTGGGACAGTCTGTTTATAGCACTTTTTGTGACCTAAGGTGGTTTTTTGATGAAGAACATGGCATCAGCTATTCCTCCTCCTCTCCTCTCCATCCTTCACGCTCAGCGGGCTGTAGCTCTGGAGCAGCTCCCAAAACCACCTCAGTTCTATTTCCACTCAGCATTAGTCAAAAGGGCAGAAGAGGACATGTGGTTAACGGCTAGCGCAAGCTACCGTGTCCCGTTGAGTTCATGGAAAAAGTGTATTTAAGTGCATTCCGATTATTGCACATAAAATAAAGATGACAGACTATGACGGACTTCAGATTACAGTTCTTTACTGAATGTGCATTGAATAGTCTTTGAATTGACAGCTGCACGTTTTTCAAATGTGGCGTGTATCATGTACTTGTAATAAGACAATATTCGGTGTGTGTAAGAGGATGTGTTCTGCACATTGCAGACCAGTGCCTGGCTCACTCGAGCCCACAGTCTGAAAACAGAGAGGGAGACGAGGAGGGGAGAAGTGTACAGAGCAAAAACCTCACGCAAACACTCCAGGGGATCTATGACGTCATTGTCAGTCATAAGGGTACGTCTGTTGATTTTATTAATAGAGACGTGTCACAAAAGGCTCAGTGTGAAGACCTGCACAGCTGATCACTCTTTCTGTCATTTGTGTTTTTTAGGGTCATCTGGACAAACCCTCGCCGCTCCTCTGCTGAACCTGTGCTCCAGAAAGAGGTTTGTGCGGATGTGTGTGCGTGCTTTTCCACTCACCAGTGTTGTTTGCTCAGTGGCTCTCCTGCTGTTCTTTTCACAGTCTCCAGATGATTACTCAGAGAACCTGGGAGTTAAAACCTCTTGCCACTGACAGCTACAGTAGATTGCAGAATGTTCTTAAAGTGATGATGTGGTGATGATTATAATTAGGGATATCTGTTGTCTGTATTTTCTATTATTTAAATTGATTAATTAATGTTAATAGCACAAATGTAATCATTAACACATTTCCTGTCTGACATACTTTTTAATGTGTTTTTTTTTTGTTTAGTAAATACGTGTATTTTACTGAAAATGTATTGTTCAAATTAATGATAATAGAAAATACAGATATACTTCAATGGATCATAAAATATTTTGGACAGTACTTGTTGTTTGGAACTTTAAAGTCAACTTATTACACAGCAGGAAGTTATCTGTTTTTATTCAATGCCTGCCTCTGATTGGGGTCAATCATGACTTAGAATTGTAGAGTGGCACCTGCCATGGCTAGTTAAATTTAGGTGGCCAATTACCTGGACACGCCCCTGTCTTAAAGGAATAGTTCACTAAAAAAATGAAATTTCAGTCATTTGCCAGTTGGTGCCACCAAACACACAGATTAACCATGATTTGCTCCTTGGTATTACTTGTCAGAGGCAGATGATACTAATTGTTTAAAAGTTTATGGTCAATATGATTTTAATGTTTTGGAAAGAAGTCTCTTATGCTGACCAAGGCTGCATTTATTTGATCGATTTAACGGAATGTAATTTATTCTTATGATGGCAAAGCTGAATTTTCAGTGGCCATTACTCCATTCTTCAGACAAGTAAAGTGAGTTACGTAACTAATCAGATTAATTATTTTCAAGTTACTAGTAAAGTAACGCATTACTTTTAAATTTACAATGAAAAATCTGAGTGACTTTTCCAAATAAGTAACGCAAGTTACTTTTTCTTATTTATTTACTGACCCATCTCCTGTCCCCCGTGTTGAGAAAAACTGAGAGTGAGCTGCAGAAAAACTTCCTTCAGCCTGAAGCTTATTCATTTAACTTTTGGTGTAAAACAGCCTTTACAGTTACCAAAAATATAACTTTTAGGCTTTTGTTATTAAAAATACATAAGCAAACACAGCCCAGGTGACAAAAAGTAATGCAAAAATAACATAAGGTGACATGGTCGGTCCACTTAGCGAATACGACATCATAACTTGTGGAAACGTGATAATATGTTGTGGCCACGAGATATTAATTTGAGGGAACGTCATATTAACTCGTGGGAACATGATATGTCGTGGCCTCCAGATGCTATGTTGAGGGAACAACATATTTTTCACGTGGCCATGAGTTTAATGCGTAAACAAACCTGCGTGACCATAGCAACCCGGGATTATCAAAAATTGATAAAACATTTTTATTAACATTAAACATTTAATTTAATATTTGTATATTATTATTATTACATTAACTTATTAGGGCTATATTTTTATATTTATTGTTATATATGCTTATTTCCCCTTTCAATTTGTGTATCGCTTTACTTAGTTAACGTTTTGTATAATTATGCTACCATTTGCTATCCTACCATATATTTTGCAAATAAACGCCTGACAATTATGCCAATAAAGTTTTGACTTTATGATTGTATTTATGCCCATGTGTGATAATGAGCGTGTTGTGTTTTCATTTTCAATTCCTCAATGAAACACTATAGTAGCCCTATTTATAATTATGGTCTATTAATTCACCGAAATAAATTCAAATGTGTTAAATTTAAACTGCATTCCAGCAAAAATTCCAGTCAGCATAATCAAAGCTTTATTGGCATGTTGAGCATTTACAGTAGGCTATTTACAAAAGTATTCAAAACGTTAAGTAAAGAGATCGAAATGAAAGGGGAAAAATGAATATAAAAAAAAATAAAAATATAACCAATAATAATAGGTTAATAATAATATACAAATATTACGGGAAAAAGACGATCAGTTAATGGACTTACAAGACTGTAGGATGGATAAAAATGTTTTCTTGTAGGCCTATTTACAAAAGGAGTTTGGTCCCATCAGGCTAACGTGACAGTCACGACTCATGCAGCTGTAAGGTTTTCTTATTCTTTTGTTTTTACTCGCGATCTTTACAACATGCATTACATTACGTATTTCATGGCACACTCGTTTTATGCGTATTTGGCGCCACCTATTGTTGTGGGTGTATTATTGACATGTCAAAGTCTAGACCCTGAATATAAGACGACCATGTTTTTTCAGATGTATTTCCAAGAAAAAAACATTGTCTTATATTCGGGTCAATACGGTAACAACTTTATTCCACATTTTCGTCTCTACTGTGTCACTTGTGGACGCGTGTTCACGACAGTGTCATGACGCGAGCGTGTGGCGGTGCTGACCCAGATCCGGCGTGATGACTATATTTTTGTTTTCTTTGCACAAAAAAGTATTCTCGTAGCTTCGTAACTTTACAGTTGAACCACTGATGTCACACAGACTATTTTGTCGATCATCTTGGTACTTTTCTGGACCTTGAACGTGGTAGTTACCTTGTTGTCTATGGGAGGGTCAGAGAACCCTCAGATTTCATCAAAAATATCTTAAATTGTGTTCCGAAAATGAACGAAGGTCTTACGGGTTTGGAACAACACGAGGGTGAGTAATTAATGACAGAATTTTCATTTTTGGGTGAACAAACCCTTTAATGAATCCATCTCTGATAATCCCGGGTTGCTATGGTCACGCAGGTTTGTTTACACACTAAACTCCGTGGCCACGAGAAAAATGTCGTTCCCCTTAACATAAGAAGTTGTGGCCACGAGAAATGGATCTATGGATCCATAAGGATGTCGTTACATCGACAAAATGATCTTGTGGCCACGACATAATATCACGTTCCCACGAGTTAATATGACGTTCCCTCAAATTTATATCTCGTGGCCACGACATAATATCACGTTCCCACAAGTTAATATGACGTTCCCTCAAATTTATATCTCGTGGCCACGACATAATATCACGTTCCCACGATGTCAGCTCGCGGGCACCGTAGTATTGTACAAGATAAGTCACCAACATTTTAGTCAGTACACTAGAATATAGATGCCTCAAAGCTACTGGACATGGATTAAAATCACAAAACTTTTTTATATTTGTTGGGGGAAAGACAATGAATTTGTCTGTGTTTTCTCTTCCAGATCAGGCTCGGCTCCTGTCGATCTCAGTACGCTGCTGAGGCAGCTCCTCTCAGGCCACTATGAGAGTCTGGACAGCTTTCATTCAGACATGCTGAAGGTGTTCCACTGCGCCGAGGTCAGTTTCAGAGGGTTCATGGACTCACACTGTTTGATGTTGTTCTGCACCTGTCATGAGCTTTTGAGCTGTCTGGGTCATACCTCAGACTGACCATCAAACAATATTCACAAAAGAATGGAATAGATTTTTTTTATTGCTGCACATCCAGAGTATTTCCCTGTAATGTTACCATAGAACAGCACCCTGAATTTATTACAGAGACGGTCCCTCTGGAGCAGCCTGAGGTTCAGTGTTTTGCTCGAGGGCACAATGGTAATGTCCCATGTCTCGCTTCTTGAGGAGAAACCTTTCAGAGCCCAAATATAATATCTGCCTCAGCAAAATGTATAAAATGCACTGTTAATATTTGTTGCTTATCATATATATTTGATCTCTTATCAGAAATACTACGGTTGTGAGTCGTCGGTGGGTCGTAACGTGAGGCAGCTGAGGGAAGTGTACCACAGTGCTCATCAGGAGGCCTTAACTCAGAACGGCAGTTTCCTGTGAGTGACAGAAAACCACATCAGTGACCTCTATCAGGGTGTTGCTGTGACCAAACCCAGAGACATGATGGGCCTTCCAGAAGGCAGATAACGCTCTCCGATACCAAAGACCTGCTGTATGTTGCACTCACAGATGCACTGCACAGGTAAAAGGTTTGCCATTTATACACAACTGTGCTGTGAAAAAATGAATACATTTAGAAAAATCAATTCAGTTATAAACATCACTGTTAGGGATGCACAATATGGTGGTACCTTATTGTTGATTACTTGATATTAGAGTTGAAGTAACAGTCATATCAGATATATGGTCCATTAGTGGATATTTAATTGTGAATGCTCATTTTCTGTATTTTTACTTTTAGATTACATTTGTTGTCATTTAATGTTCAATTATACTTGATTTTTAAAAACACTTATAATTTAATAACACTAAATGAATATAGTTTTTTATGCTGTACATTATTTTGTTATACCTAAATTCACTTGTAGCATTTAAAACAATTGATTTTAGTTCTTAATATTTTATTTTACTTTGTAATTATAAAAACAAAACACTATCATTCATTTAGATTCAAATAGTATAGAATTTTAATGATAGCCATTTATCCGTTATTATTATTTATTTTTAAATATTTTATTTTTAATTAATTTACCAGTATAAAAATAAAGCATTATCTTTGAATTTATTTGGATTTAAATAATAGAATAGAATTTTAATGTAAACCATTTAACAGTTATTGGTTACTTTCCATTAGCCATGAATTCATTTTTTATCTTTTATTTAGAATTAATTTAGAATTATAAAAAATAAACACATTATTTTTCATTTATTTAGATTTAAATAGTACTGAATTTTCATGTTAGCAATTATTGACCATAACATGAATATAATTATTAGATTATCATATTGACCAGAATTTAATTATCAGCATATGTTTCAATTATATTACATTATATTATATTTAAATCAACTATATACCATTACTGCAATAAATCATTTTAATCAATATTTTTAAAAACTTAATTAGTCTTATATTCCAGTAAAAATATCTAAACATTCTTAAAACAAGACATATTTACAAGAAAGGCTTGTTTTCAAAGTATATTTTTTTGAATTGGCTTTCCTATTGGCCTTTATTTTCTTTCTTTCTTATTTTAATCATGAACCTCACTAACTTTGTTAGCATCAGTGGAATCTTTCCTTTGTTCATTCAAGGCTAACCAAAGCATTTGCTTTTGGAAATGTAACACAAGCCAGTAGTTTCCGAGTGTAAAGCACAAACTGTAAAAGCTTTAAGGCCTTTGCATGGATCAAAGACTATTATTTCCTCTGTTCTTTATTATTATGTGCTGGTAAGGTGCTCTCACTTTTACTATGTCTCCTCTTCTTTGTCCTCTGTAGGTTAAAACAGCACTCCTGGAAATGCCATTTGTGAGCATGGACACGGCTGATGCTTGACAACATGATTAGTTGAAAGCAGCTCAGCCTTTCTTTCTCTCAGGGAAAAGAAAGTCAAGTGAGGGAACATGAGATATAATGCCAGGTTCAGACTACATGATATTTTTGTTGGTCACGATAGTCACTGTGTCAGATTACACGATTTTGACTCTGTGTATGAAAGAGCTTCGGTGCTGCTATCGGTCAACGTCACCAATGTGACAGAACTCATCGTGGATGACGAAAAAAAAAAGAAACATGCTAGTCTTTCTGTCGTGATGTCGTGAAGCATCGCAGACGCGGAATCGGTTGTCGTCCGCTATGACACACTACACGTGCTGAAACGATGGAATCTTGCATCTTGACGCCCATTGTCGTTTACGAATCCCCACGACACCGTACGTCAAGCAAATCGTGGCAAAATCGGGTTAAAATCGTGTAGTCTGAACCGGACATAACACAAATCAACATCTGAGACTCCAGATGATTTCATATACCCGAGCAACATGCATTTCTTTTATTTTGAGATGTAACACTGAACATAAACATGTTGAATGGGATGCCATGCGAACAGGACAGGACAGGTTCTGTTTCGATTTGAAGGAATGAACATCCACAGACTGTTTTAAATTATTCAACACACTACATCAGCATACCTACAAGAAAATGGACTTCACTACTCTTAAGAGGCTCTGCTGACTGAACAGTATTGAGTGGTGTGAACAGAATTGTGGTCTACAGCCTTTTTAGGGTTTTGTGTTGAAGGTTATACCTATAAAGTAAGCAATAATGCATGAAAGGTTCAATAACGCAGCCTTAATGTAAGCAAATGTATGTTTATAATCATTTTAAACCAGGCATTTTTATTTTAAAGGGACTTTACTACCACTTTGTCCAGAGCTGTCTTGTGTTAGTGATGTTTTGTAATACATTGATTTGAAGCAGTAATCTTTATAGCTTTGAGACTCAGAAATATTGTATACGTTGTACAGTATATTGTAAATAATGTTTATTTAGCAAAATTATGTTTTAGTATGGTTCAAGGAACTCTATTTACAGTCTTAAATTGTTGTGGGAATTAATCTGTTTTCCATTGATTCTTTAGTAATATTTGTATAGATAGTTTTTAAGGTGTCTCGATGCATGTGTAATTTGAAACAGGACATTTAATGTCTGTAAAACATCAGATTTTCATAGCCTTCTTTATGCATGGCATACTTTATGTTGCTTAATAATGTATAATAGCTGTGTATACATATGCAACAAATTATATGTCTATGCTGAACTAAGAAATTCATCGTTGGAAGCTTATTAAAAAGCAGAATAAATTAATTAACCCAGCTACATTAGTTCACTCATAAAAGTAAGTCGATACTTGGACCATTGTGCTTTTTAGATCTAATAGGTTTTATTGTTTATAGATAATAGTGCTTGAAGAAAGTTGTAACAAATTATTCGTGGTAAAACAAAGACACAAATAGACCCACAGGAAGAGCTGCAGATCTATTTTTATCTTTTAATTTGTCCATAAAATGATTAGTGCTTCATAAGCCAAATGTTCATTACTTTAGCTTTGTCTATATACAATTAAATGTGTGTCAGTGGACCTACATTAGGTTATTGCATCATATGAATCATTAAATATTATCTCTCCTTGCAGCCTTTGCACATTATGCTCAAACTGCATTCAAGTCAAAAGCAGGTCACAATGTCAAAATGTTTAACTGTAAAGTCCTCCTGTGTATATGGAAAATTGTAGATAAGTTTCTTTCCAGGTCTCTTTTTACATAGTGGACTTGATTTCATCACTCTTGTTATATAACAAGGTGATAAGAATAAATTCTGGTGTGACTGTCATATATATTCTGCACAGGGTCTTCGCAAACAAGACTGCAAGATAAATAATTGTGTCCGAAATAATGAAATTTATAAATTGTGTACCTACCTACAGCTTTATTAGTTATTACTTCATCTGATAGATGTGTCAGGATTGTTAGAAGGGAATATGTCACTCTCTAGTGGTAATAATAGCCTACAAACACTAAGATACTAATATAGCTGCAGATCTGAATGTGCAACAGTGAGTTCACTGAACATTTCGACTCAAAATCAAACATTAAAATAACTTTACTTAATGAAAAGTATAGTATGAAAAAAAGAGCAATTATTTTTATTAGAGGAGGTGGGGGTGGGAGAGGGACAAAATCTTTCTAAATTGTTTGAGCAAACAGGGAAAACATGCCATATGAATAAAGCACTGAATTTAAAAGATCTCAAGTGGTATGCAAAATTCCCATGACCATTTCAATGACCACTTCCCTGACCATGACCACTTCCCTGGCTGCTTCCCTGACCATGACCACTTCCCTGGCCGCTTCCCTAACCATAACCGCTTCCCTGACCATGACCACTTCCCTGGCCGCTTCCCTGACCATGACCACTTCCCTGACCATAACCGCTTCCCTGACCATGACCACTTCCCTGACCGCTTCCCTGGCCATAACCACTTCCCTGGCCATAACCGCTTCCCTGACCATGGCCTCTTCCCTGACCATAAACGCTTCCCTGACCATGGCTGCTTCCCTGACCATAACCACTTCCCTGACCACTTCCCTAACCATGGCTGCTTCCCTGACCGCTTCCCTGACAATGGCTGCTTCCCTGACCCTGGCCTGACCGCTTGCCTGGCACTGGCCGCTTCCCTGGCCATAACCACTTCCCTGACCATGGCCGCTTCCCTGGCCATAACCGCTTCCCTGACCCATAACCGCTTCCCTGGCCATAACCGCTCCCCTAACCATGGCCGCTTCCCTGACCATAGCCGCTTCCCTGGCCATAACCGCTTCCCTGGCCATAACCACTTCCCTGACCATGGCCGCTTCCCCGACCGCTTCCCTGACCATGACCACTTCCCCGACCGCTTCCCTGACCATGGCCTCTTCCCGGACCGCTTCCCTGACCATGGCCGCTTGTCTGGCCCTGGCCGCTTTCCTGACCCTGGCCTCTTGCCTGGCAACTTGCCCGACCTCTTCCCTGACCACGTGGTTCACTGCATGCAAAGCCACCGGTGGTTGGGCAACACTTCTGTGTGGCAGGACACTGGCCATCATGGAAACAGCTTTCAGCACACAGTGGAATCATCTCCGGTATGGGACACTGACCCGGCTTCACTGCGGGGACACATATAGTCAGCTTTAGTTTGTGCATATAGACAGTATGCCACTTCAATATACAGCACGAAACACTCATTCACCTACAGAGTGAATTATAGTCTAAGTATTATTCCTCTTTATTTTGTAAAGCCATCCTGTGCTTAAAACTATCCAAAGGGATGAATTCAAACCTACTTTAGACGAGAACAACAAAAGGCAAAGTCTCTGCTTAAAACTTGCATTGAATTCAATGCGTTACTCGTGTGTGTGTGTGTGCACGTTTTTTTTTTTTAACCCTTCTTCTTCTTCTTTTTCAATTAACCAGAACAAAATATACAACAGTAGCCTAATTCAGTAATCAACGACTGTATATTCTTGGAAAATATTGCAAGTATTGTTTGCTTTTTATTAACAATGTTCTCCAAACTGGTGCAGTAGTCCTTAAGTCTCCTGAAGAAAATTTATGAAATTTGGCTTGGACCCTGACCTTCTTCTAATGTATGTGAAATTTTCCCAAAATAATGAAAATAATGTACAAGAAAATTAAAGTTGTTATTATTACTTTCATTGGAATAATACATACATATCAAAATGATTTAACTTGAATGTAATATTATATTTTCCATATCCACCCAAAAAAACTAAACCTTGTGTAGACACAATTACAAAATGTGATAGTGATTAGATGGATAATATAGACTCCGTTTTCATTGAGCAAACAAATCACAGGAATATTAATCCCAATATCCACTACTGTTCAAACATTTGGTATCTGTAACCGTAATCATCAAAGAATCCTGAAAAAAAACTGTTTTCAACATTGATAACAGTAATAAATGTTTCTTGAGCAGCAAATCAGTAAATTAGAATGATTTCTGAAGGATCTTGTGAGACTGAAGACTGGAGTAATGGCTGATGATAATAAGTTTATTTTAAAATACATTACAATAGAAAAGTGTTATTTTAAATTGTAATAATATTTTCACAGTATTACTGTTTTTACTGTATTTTTGATCAAATAAATTTGGCCTAATTATACCAAAATATAAAAGCCACAAGAACTATTTCAGTATATGACTAAAAATAATATACAGTATAGGGAGTTTACTGTGTTGACCATTACAGTAACTAAGACAGTAACTTAGTGAGGACAACAGTATGGCTGAGCTGCCCCTGCTTATATTATATGCACATGTGATCATCCAACCACTTGTTGATTCCCTGCATATCAGACAGAAGGTCAGATCTGACTTCGGTAATATGATCTACCATTTGTTTTATTCTAAATGAACAAGTACTGTTGGTAGAAATCAGTCAGACTGTAATTTAAATGTGTTTGAGGGCAGTGATATGACTTATAGAGGGAAGTTCATCTGTGCAGGGAGTCATATGGCTCTCTTTATTTAGCAAACTAGGACAAACGTGTGTTAGTCAAGTAAGGGCAGGGGAAGATCTCCCAAACACACTCCTGCCCCTGCACATGTGGTAGACATGTGTTGTCACTTGTCTCCGCAGCTGCTGGGACAACACCTCATATCTAAACCCCCGTGCTAGTGAGTATTTGGGACACTAAGCAGACACAAGCAGCATTTTGCGTATTTCAACGTATTTCAAACAAGTAGTTGTGATGGATTCTCGGCTGTCGAAACAGATCCAGTGTTCGGTGTGTGTGGGGGACTTCACAGATCCAGTGAGCCTGCTGTGTGACCACACGTTCTGCCGACAGTGTATTAGCAATCATTCCCAAAGCTGCCGCCTGAAACTGTGTCCAGAATGCAGGCGACCCTATACCATGTGGGACCTCCGGTCCAACCGAGTGCTGCGGAATATGGTGCATGCCGTGAGGGAACACTTGAGCGAGCAGCAGGCCCTCAGGGACGGGAATGTAGCGGCTTGTGGAGCAGGAGCGAGAGTGTTTGAGGAACCAGAGAAGCTAGTGTGTTCCGATCATCAGGAGAGACTCAAGCTGTTTTGTGAGACGGATCAGAAACTGGTGTGTCTGATCTGTAGAGACGGTGAGAGACATCAGGGACACACGTTCAAACCTGTGGAGCAGGCAGCGGAGCCCAGAAAGGTCAGTGAGGACTGACAAACTGTAGATACCTTTATAAGCCTTATGTTTTGAGTTTGACGCTGCTCAAATTTCAGGTCATATCCAGGTCAGCCATACAAAAGCAGAAGTTAATTTGGTTTCTATTTTGGATGTATCTAATTCCTCATACTGACTGAGGTTCTGTTTGTGGTCTCAGAGACGCCAGGGTCATTTTACTGTCATTTCTGTTCAACACTGAAGCATACTTCAAGCTTCTTCGTTACTTTTGACAATCAGCTGGAATATGCAGCTTTTGCAGATTTTAGCTTAATTCCAATTTGTGGTCTGGATAAATTAGGATAAGATAGTTAAGAAAGTCAGAGCCACTGTAAAGATTTGAGATGCATGATTTCACAGAAAATCACAGTGTATGATGGGCACCGACATGATTGATATTTTTAGCTGATTTTAAACATATTTTGTTTTCATTTTCATTTGTTTTCATGATTTTGCGTGTTTCTGTGTGAGTTTATGTTCCTCAGTCAATTAGTGTATGATGCCAAGTTTTTCATCTTAAACCATTTACAAAGTTGCCAAGTATGATGCCTAGGGGTTTTAAAATCTGTACAAATAAGTGCTCAGTTGAAGTCAACTGTTCAGTTATGAAGTGTATTCCAGGTTTAATTAGAAGAACTGGTCATAAACTAAACTGAACTTGGTAACATTTTTCAAACATACTTAATACATGTTACATTACTTATGTTTCAGAGATTTTAAATATGAAGCTTTAATAATGCAATGGATCTTCATATAAGATCCTGCCTGTTGTCTATTTTAACTGTATTTTTATGTAAATAAATTTTACTTAAGTCCATTATTATTATTATTATATTATTGTATTGTTGGATATCAGTCACATTTTTGAAACGTACATTACTGTGGTAAAATACAGAAGGATAACGCTTTGGTTATATTGTACTGGGTTTTAAATTGTCAGAATCTAAAACCCTAGAAAGAATGTAAATGGAAAGTAAGAGGTTAATCTCAAAAGTATTCAAAAGTTTCATTATTTTTACATGTACAACATTGGGACACTAGGATTTCAAGCATAAGTCAGTCTAATAAAAACCTGAGGAACAAATATAAATGTAGCAGCTTCTGGAGCAGGCGCGAGAGAGTGTTTGAGGAATTTAAAGGAATCGTTCACCCAAAAAAGAACATTTTCTGAAAATGTACTCATCCTCAAGTTGTTCCAAACCTGTATGAGTTTCTTTCCTCTGCTGAACAGTTTTGAAGAATGTTAGCAGTGGTGGACAAAGTACACAAATCAAGTACTTGAGTAAAAGTACAGATACATATAATAAAATATTACTCCAGTAAAAGTACTCTTTTTTCACTCGAGTGAAAGTACAAAAGTACTCGATTTTTTATGTACTTAAGTAAAAAAGTACTGATAGATTTATTTTGCAGTTTTATATAGGCTACTTAATTAAATTTTATATTAGCACATATTTTTTATAATCCTACTGCTTGTTGATATGGACTACGTTGACGAGAGTGATGTAATGTTCACTGTGAAGCTTACACTGTGAAGTACCTGAGAGAAAACAGATCTGACCATCTGATTTTCACCAGTAAGAAAAAAGTGTTTTAAAGCTTGTTGTTTTGCAGAACATCACAGTTATATATGACATGAGAATAAGGCCTGAAATTAGGAAGAACATTTTAAGGAAAATATCATTATATTTTCAAAATGATTTTTTGTCTGTGGTGTAAAAACACCCCTGGCCCCCATAGGGCATCACTTCCCACTTTCTTTTTCCCTCAGATGTAATCTATCTAGGTGGCTGAATAAAAATATTTGGACTTTATATCTAAAAATGACCTCAACTTAGCACCAGCAAGCTTGTTAGCTAGACAGTTAGTATCAGCTAACGATACTTATTTTCTAATTTCTTCTTTTCTAATTCTAATTTCTTATTTTCTAATTCTAATTTACTTATTTTCAGTATGGTTATGAATACACATTCATATCTGTCTACTCGGCTAGTTATTCCAAACAATATAAAAATTGATACTGTTGATAAACAATATAAAAACAGACGTCACATAGGGCTAAAAAAATTTTTTTAATAAAACTGTTAACGTTACGGCCGCGCGAATATGAACGTGCATGAATTATTTTATTTAGTCTGTGTTATTTTAATGTTTCAGATTTTGTAACCTAAAATAGAGAGACAGATGTTGATGTGTCTGCATTCAATCATTTCAGTGGGCTTAAATAGATCACCCTTTACAGCAGATTTAGTTCACAAACAACACAAAATACAAGACTAACTACAACGACAGTTTTGACCTAAATATGATTTTCAGTTACAAGAATTAATCCTAAAATTCGACATTAGTAACTTACTTTTAGCAACATCAGTCGCGCGCGCGCTCACAAGATCTCCCGGTTCTTACATGTGAATTCAGTTCACTGGAGACTCGCATAAACGGTTCATTTGAATCAGTGAGTTGTCGACTCGAGAACAACTGCAATCGGTTCATTCTAAATCGTCAATGAATCGTTTGGTGCAATTTGCGAACCGATTTAAAAGGTTCATTGAAAAGAATCAGTTTGTTCATGAATCAGACACCGCTTCTGCGTCTCGGAGCACGTGATATATTATAAGAATAATATATAATGTTTTATGAAAAGTAGTGAAGTAAAAAGTACGATCTTGTGCTTTGGAATGTAGTGAAGTAAAAGCTACTCAAAATAAAACGACTCCAGTAAAGTACAGATACTTGAAAAATTTACTTAAGTACAGTAACGAAGTAAAGCTACTCCGTTACTGTCCACCATTGAATGTTAGTAACCAAACAGTTGTGACTTTCATATGAAAAAATACAATAGGGCCAAAAACTAGGTTACCAACACTCTTCAAAATGTCTTTTTGTGTTTAGCAGAAGAAAGAAAGTCATTGGAACAACCTGAGGGTGGGTAAATGATGACAGAAGTTTTGGGTGAACAATCCCTTTAATCACTATGTATGTTGATATTTTATTCCCCAACATATTGTAGATGAATAATTAGACACATCAAAATGCATAATTGTACATTTAAAGGGGTCATATGATGTTGCTAAAAAGAACATTATTTTGTGTATTTGGTGTAATGAAATGTGTTTATGTGGTTTAAGGTTCAAAAAACACATTATTTTCCACATACTGTACATTATTGTTTCTCCTTTATGGCCCGCCTTTCTGAAACACGTCGATTTTTACAAAGCTCATTGGTCCGAAAGAGCGAGGTGTGCTCTGATTGGCCAGCTATCCAGTGCATTGTGATTGGCCGAATACCTCAAGCATGTGACGTAAATGTTACGCCTTCTTTCTTTGTGTGAACATTTGGGCGGCGTTATGCAAATCTTCCCACATTGTGACGTAGACATGTGGGGGCGTGTTAGAACGAGCCGTTTTAGGAGGGCGTGGACCAGTCTTAACTTTTATAAAGAATATCTTTTTGGGTTTGAGACTTTAGTCTTTGCAACTTTAGGGATCTTATCTATTCATGAACAGCTTGTAACACTCCAAAGAGAAAGGAAGACTTGAAATCGCATCATATGACCCCTTTAATACTTAAAGTCAGAAGTGCTCTTTCCTGTTCCTCTGCAGGATGCTGCAGATCACTAGGAGCAGTACTGAGCACCGCTGCCTTAAGGTAATGTCTGAAATATTCATGTCAAACGCCCACAAGTCTGTCCTCTGTGTTGTAGAATTTATTGTTAGAGCCTCTGAGCTTCCTGTCGAAGGAGAATGAAGAGCTGCAGGCTCTTATAAAGAAACAGACGAATGAGATCTCTAAAACGGAGGTGAAAAATACACTTCACACAAAAGAATAAAACAGCTCACACAATCCATCAAAAGACTCCATAAAGGAGCGCCGCAGGGTTCATTACTACTGTATCTGTGATGTATTTTGTTTCTTCTGCAGGATGCTGCAGATCACTAGGAGCAGTACTGAGCACCGCTGCCTTAAGGTAATGTCTGAAATATTCATGTCAAACGCCCACAAGTCTGTCCTCTGTGTTGTAGAATTTATTGTTAGAGCCTCTGAGCTTCCTGTCGAAGGAGAATGAAGAGCTGCAGGCTCTTATAAAGAAACAGACGAATGAGATCTCTAAAACGGAGGTGAAAAATACACTTCACACAAAAGAATAAAACAGATCACACAATCCATCTAAAGACTCCATAAAGGAGCGCCGCAGGGTTCATTACTACTGTATCTGTGATGTATTTTGTTTCTCAGGAAAGGTCTCGGCAGCTCTCTGCTCAGATCTCTGCTCAGTTTGAGGAGATACACCAGTTTCTGAGGAAAAAAGAGGAGGAAGTGAAGAAAATGCTGGCAAAAGAGGAGAAGGATATGATAGAAAAGATGAAAAGAAACAGAGCAGAAATAGAAGAGAAGCTGAATGATGGAAGAGAGCAGGAAGGGATTCTACGCTCAGTCTTGGAGACTGATCAGCCAGACGGCTTTCTGCAGGTTCAAACAAACAATTGCATTCAACACAGATTGTCCGATTAACTGTGTCCATCATATAGACATAATTGCAGTAGGCTACAGTGAGGTTAAATCCCCCAAAAGGAAAATGAGTTTTTGTTTTTTCTGATACCAAAATTTTTTTTGTAAATTTGTAAAAACTATTATTAAAAAATGAAATTGATGAAGAAACATAATTTAATTATGCTTATTTCAAAGAAATGGTAAATGTCACTAATGTTGTTTTTTTTTTTATTAGAAATCATGTAAATATAAATGCAGCTGGTCAACATGGGAACTCTTTACCCCTGTAACGTTTATTATTATTTATTAGCTCTAAAAAGGGGAATATTTATGACGAATCATAAATGGTTATGATTCATAATAAATATTTAGATTATATCTTCGAATTAACTGTAGCAGAATCAATATTACAATTATTTGATCTGTCCGTCCACCGAGCAGACAATATAATCATTTATCAATTCAAGGAATATTTATTTTCTGGCCACGGAACAATAAACTGTCCTTCTAAGAAACAGACGAATGAGATCTCTAAAACGGAGGTGAAAAATACACTTCACACAAAAGAATAAAACAGCTCACACAATCCATCAAAAGACTCCATAAAGGAGCGCCGCAGGGTTCATTACTACTGTATCTGTGATGTATTTTGTTTCTTAGGAAAGGTCTCGGCAGCTCTCTGCTCAGATCTCTGCTCAGTTTGAGGAGATACACCAGTTTCTGAGGAAAAAAGAGGAGGAAGTGAAGAAAATGCTGGCAAAAGAGGAGAAGGATATGATAGAAAAGATGAAAAGAAACAGAGCAGAAATAGAAGAGAAGCTGAATGATGGAAGAGAGCAGGAAGGGATTCTACGCTCAGTCTTGGAGACTGATCAGCCAGACGGCTTTCTGCAGGTTCAAACAAACAATTGCATTCAACACAGATTGTCCGATTAACTGTGTCCATCATATAGACATAATTGCAGTAGGCTACAGTGAGGTTAAATCCCCCAAAAGGAAAATGAGTTTTTGTTTTTTCTGATACCAAAATTTTTTTTGTAAATTTGTAAAAACTATTATTAAAAAATGAAATTGATGAAGAAACATAATTTAATTATGCTTATTTCAAAGAAATGGTAAATGTCACTAATGTTGTTTTTTTTTTATTAGAAATCATGTAAATATAAATGCAGCTGGTCAACATGGGAACTCTTTACCCCTGTAACGTTTATTATTATTTATCTCTGTGGAATGTTTTTGATCAGAAGATTCCAGGATTCTCGTGGGGGCTGGTTCTAATCTTTTTGACGGCGAAGAACCATTTGGCAATTTACAACCCCGATACAAGTAACATCTCTGACCAGAACTGTAATTTATATGCAAATGTCAAAAGGCTAAAAGGGTCTTTTAAGCCATAAACAGTCCAACACTCCAGCATGATCCTACGCAGACGCTACACCCCAAATATAGTCCTTACACTAGAATAAGAATCTATTGATTTAATTACCATAAACAACACATACAATCATAAACAAGACATTTGTTTCAAAATTAAATGCACGCATATTAGTTACATATATCTGCTAAATTTAAATAATATGATATATAAAACAGTTTTATTATTATTTTTTTTAAATAATATAAATATTATTGTTTAAAATTACTATATATTTAGTTCCCAGTATATTGAACATTTGGAAAATTTTAAAATATATCATGTGTAATTCAGTCTTAGTCATTGCATGCAATAACCTCAACACAGTAAGAAACAAAATTTTGAAAAAAGTACCTTTAGAGGTACAACAATTTGCCACTGCAAGTGCCCTTAAAGAAACACTCCACTATTTTTGAAAATAGGCTCATTTTCCAACTCCCCTAGAGTTAAACATTTGAGTTTTACCGTTTTCGAATCCATTCAGCCGACCTCCGGGTCTGGCGTAGCACTTGTAGCTGTGGCTTAGCATAGATCATTGAATCTGATTAGACCGTTAGCATCTCGCTCAAAAATGACCAAAAAGTTTCTATATTTTTCCTATTTAAAACTTGATGTAACTACAGAAGAGTCAAGTTTTAAATAGGAAAAATATAGAAACTCTTTGATCATTTTTGAGCGAGATGCTAATGGTCTAATCAGATTCAATGATCTATGCTAAGCTACAGCTAAAAGTGCTACCGCCAGACCCAGAGATCAGCTGCATGGATTCGAAAATGGTAAGACTCAACTGTTTAACTCTTAGGGGAGTTGGAAAATGAGCCTATTTTCAAAAATAGTGGAGTGTTCCTTTAAAGGGACACCTTTGTACCTTTACACCTTGAAGGTGTTTATGAATATCTTAGAAGAATAATATTTACTACTAGTATGAACATTTAAGAATTTTAAGAATGTGATTTTTGGGAGTAGGCAGAAAAATCAATTTACATAATTGTTGCATATATGTAACACTGGGTTATTCATAGCTGCGGTTCTCAAAATAATAACCATTTTCTTTGTCTGGTTCTACTTCTCCTGTAGTGGTGGAGTGAGAAAGGCCTGGACTTTGTCGAAGAGATGAAAGAGAAAGAAAGCTGCTGTGAAAATAATGACATTGTTTCTCAAACAACATAGTAGGACAATATACTGTTATGCTTCAGATAAACATAACCAGCACTGTACAGTAAATATCCCATCAGTTACATTCATCTCCTGTGTTGTAGGTTCAAATCAGCAGTGAAAAGTGTGAATTTGACACCTAATTCTTTGTTCCTTGGCCTTCATGAGACTCACTTGCAGTTTCTTGTGTGGAAGGAGATGCTGAGCTTTATCAAACCAGGTGAGGACATCAGATATCCATATGTGGACCATGTATTAAAATGAATGTAAAAGTATATACATGTCTATTATGAACATTTACATTTTGCAAATTTATAATATCAATATTTATACACTTAAAAGTTTGTAATTATTGTGTCTTTATGTTTTTGAAAGAAGTATCATATGGTCACCAAGGCTGCATTGTTTGATTGTAAATACAGTAAAAACAGCCATATTGTGAAAAAGTATTACAATTTAAAATAACTGTTTTCTATTTTAATACATTTTTAAATGTCATTTATTCCTGTGATGGTAAAGCTGAATTTTCATCAGCCATTACTTCAGTGTCACATGATCCCTCAGAAATCATTCTAATATGCTGTTTGATGCTCAGCTATTAATAATGCTTTTTGTTGCTTAATATTTTTGTGGAAACTGTGATGCATGTTTTCAGGATTATTGTATAATGGTTCTTATCATCAATGTAAAAAAAAAAAAAA